GTTTACAATCACTAAACCTAAGCTGGCAGTAATTCAATTGACAAATCCTGTCTCCTAGCAGTCTTAAGAATATTGTTAATATAAGTATTAAAACTACCTAAGATTACAAATAGAATAAAATATAGCTAATGTGTGGCTTCTAATTTTTAATGAAAATATACTAAAGTGTAGGAGAGTGAAAAATCTAAAGTAAAAGGGATACTAATAAAATCATGAATAAATCACAGAATGATTCAACAAGAGAAAATTTCAACTATGGGTCTGTGCATAAAAAATAATAAAACAACTCTTTGTGGCTCTGCCATCCAAAGAGAGAAAGAAAGAAAAAGAAAAGAAAAGATTTCATTGTTGCTTTGCAAAGACAATGAATTCTTCATGCACAGGTTCCCCATGTCTCATTTATATAATTCCTCAATTAATATGTCTCAATTTATTTATTTTTAATTCCTTAATTAATTATGGCCCTGCCAGGAAAATGTTGCCTTCTTGGTTTTAAATGATTGACCATTCCATGGTGAGCACCCCTTGTAAATATTGTTTCCCCTATAAACCTGGCTAATGCTTGGCTGGAAATCGGGCCACGGGGGTAGGTTCTTTTCCAGACCTCCTGTCTCAGGTTCCTTCAGTCTCTTTTTGACCAGTAAACCCAGTTTTGTTTTTTTTCTTTAATAATTTTGAGTTTTGTTCTACATTTTCTCCCAGCCTATCTGGGACCCTCTAATGTGATCCTTATCAAGGTAGTTGTTAGGGGTAAGTAGGCACTGTCTAGTTCTTCTGGTCTCAAAGTCATAGAAAGTGATATTCACATGTTCCATTGACTCATTGAATGAATTGATTCTAAGCCTCTTCAATTCTTGTCCTTCTTCTTTCCTCTGCATTTGGAGAGACCAATAAAACTATATTTTTTGTGTTTTAATTGTTTTAGAAAAGAACAAAATCTCTAAATACAAAGTTAATACTTTACCAATAAGTATGTTGAAATCATAGGGCTATAAGCACTGTGTTTATAGTCTGAGATCCATGGATTATCTAGTGTTGTCCTGAGGTGGTTAATGTTTTACACCACACATGGGGTGTCAGGTTATGGCATAATGGTTGCTCAGTTGTTGTTGTTGTTGAGTGCCAATGATCAGTTCCTGCTCATAGCAACTCTGTGTAGGGTTTCCAAGGCTTTAAATCCTTTTAGAAGCAGAAAGCTTTATCTTTCTCCCGTGGAGCATCTGGTGGGCTAGAACTGCCAACCTTGTGTTTCGCAGCCACCATGCTCCCATAGTTGATCAATAGAGTGGTATTTTTGACACTCTTAGCCACTTTCCTAACTGGTTTTTATAATTATGAATTTCTTCAGAATACTTTTTGAAAGACCATTTGACAGTATTTACTTTTTAAACTGCCCAAACATAATTTAAAATAGATACATCACACTAATCCCCATCTCTGTATGTAGTCTGGTCTTTCTAGACACCACTGTTAGGTTTTTTGTCAGCCTTTCAGAAATTTTTTCTTCTATGTGTGTGTTCTTTTTAATTTTTCAACAATGGAATTTTATTTTATGTATTTGGTTACGGTACTTAAAACCTCAGATAAATATTGAAGTGTACAGTATCTGACTGATTACAAGATAGTATGATTTTTAGAAAATTAACATATAAGCCAGTCTTTCTTCTAAAGTTTTGGAGCCTCTCCAGTCACTCCAGAACCACGGCATGAAGTAGCATTTTGGGACACATCTTGGAGTTTTGTGCCTGAGTTGCATGGCTTCGAGCTCCCAGACTTGACTTTTCTGGCCTTTCACATCCACATAGGCTCATGGAGGTTATAACCTCTCTAGATTCAACAAGTTTTTGTGCTGTATGCTTTAAGTTTCTGAGCTGCTGTTTGCCCCAAGAAGGAAACCAGTGGACATGTTTAAAAATGAAATGGCATACTTAAAAAAAAAAAATCAAATGGCAGAACACTCATTAAATTTTCAGGGTGAAAATGTTTGTATAGCTCTAGAAATTTCTCTTTGTTTTTTAAGTAGCTAAGCATTTTATCTCCAATTCTGCTTTATTATCAACTTAGATACAGTTGTTGATTTTTCTATCAGATGTTAGTTATATTTACTGGGTTACAGATAGAGGGAAACCACCACACTAGTCAAGCACTAGCTTCAGCTCCTTTGTACTTACTGCCTGTTTCCTCAGCCTGGAAGCTTCTTCTCTCTAGTTCTTTCCCCCCCACGCCACCCCCACCCCCACCCCCACCCTCAGGGCTCACTCCTGGCTTCCATCAGGTCTGGACCCAGATGTCAGCTTCTCAGAGAGGCCTAGACTGTCCATCTTAAGTAGACGAGCAATCTTTCTTCCTCACCACCAACTACCCTTCGTGCGCTCTTCTACTTACCCAGCTTCATTTTCCTCCATCAGAGTATCACTACCTGATGAATCATATTTCACTGTATTTGTTTGATTTTTTTTTTTTTTTTTTTTTAAATCTCGCTCTTCCTACTGGACTATAAGCTCTGTGAGGTCAGAGACTTTGCCTGTTTTGTTCCTTCTTTGTCCCCAGTGCCTAGAGACGAGCCTGGCACTGTACCCATGTAATCTAGGTCAGATTCACGAATGGCTTATTTATTTGCTTCTGATAAAGATAAGCAGTCAAATGAATAGGTTGTTTGATTTGTATCTGAGTCCCAGCTCTGCTGCTACCAGCCCATGTGACACAGGGAAAATTATGTTTCTTATCTAGGAAATGAAGATTTTAAATGAAATGACCTTGGCGGTCCACCAGAACAACCAAATCCATTGCCATCGAGTCCATTCTGACTCATAGTGACCCTGTAGGACAGAGTAGAACTGCCCCATAAAGTGTCCAAAGCTGTAATATTTTTGAAAGCAGGCTGCCGTGTTTAACTCCTGCAGAGTGGCTGGTGTGTTTGAACTGCCAACCTCTTAATTAGCAGCCGAGCCCTTAACCTGCTGTGCCACCAGGGCTCCTAAATTTAGCCCTAGCACTCTGTATTGTTATTCTGTTTCACTTATTTTTCTATGTTAATATTTTTTTCCTAGTTCTGGCTTCAGTTACACATGGTAAAAATTATCAGTGATTTTACTGACCATGCTCTCACTTTATTGGGTTAGGTGTAAACTCAAGGATAAGCTAGCATTTTCACTGATGTCTTCAGAGTTCATATAATCACAGCACAGGAATGTTTCACTCTCATACTCCTGTCTCCAATGGGTATGACTTACTTGGAAGAGAATGAAGACGTGTAAGTGCTGTATCAGCTCTACCAGCCCACCTATTGCTTAACTAGAGACCTGCATTTTGATCTCTTTCCACTCCTTACCTGCCCTGCATTCCTAACTTCTCAGTTCTGCCACAACACGTAGACTCGACAGTTCCTTCTCCCTCTTCACTGTCACCAACACACATGGTTTTTTCCAGACTGCTTTTCCCAACACAGACACCTCCCCCGCCCCCCACTAGAAGAATAAACAGAGTCCTGGTGTGGTGCCGTACGATAAACACTCAACCTCAAGGTCAGTTTGAACCACAAGGTTGGGGGTTCAGATTCACCACCTGCTCCTTGGAAACCCTATACAGCGTTGCTATGAGTCAGAACCGACTCAACAGCACTTAAGAACAGTAGAAGAATAAACAGACTTAAGAATTTAACCATTTCTTCAGGAAATTATATTAACTGCTGTTCCATTTCTTGATCCATCTCAAAAGGCCACATGACTTTAAGAAGTTAGAAATGAGCGATTTTACTGTCACTGTTTTCTTCCAGCCCATTTGCTTATGTGGACCCCTTGCATTGTAACATGGCCTATTTGTACCTTGAGCTCCTCAAAGACTCACTCAACGAGTATGCATATGCAGCCGAGCTAGCAGACTTGAGCTATGACCTCCAAAATACCATCTATGGGATGTATGTAAGTAGCCACGTCTTACAGCCTTCCACTCATCAACAATTTTTATATTGATTTGATGGAAGCATTTTAAATGAAGGGTATGATTTCATTTTTTTTTTAAATCTTTATGGCTAATAATATTTTCTCATCATTTCATTTCTAAGTTAAGTCTTACATTAAGTATTCCACAATATACCATTCATATTCAAATTTTCCTTGATTTCTTTCTGTTTTTTTTTAAAACATTTTTCATCAGATTATTGTTATTTCTCCTCAAATAAAATTGGACCCTGATTTAATGTTTAGATCTCATCCATTGTGTAGCTGAAGTCTTGCTCTCTGGCAGAAGGGAATGGTTTTTACTGGCCTTGATAAAACATAAGGTCGACCTGTGCTATTTCCCTACAAATTGAGATTATGAGGCTGCATATCCATACTCTTCAGTCATGTCATGCTTCTTCATTGCCATCCCACTGCTTGAGGTATCAAAGTGTTTCTTTTGTTTTTCTTTTTTGTTAGTCGCTACATTTATGCTGATCCTCTCCATTGCAACATGACATACCTGTTTATCAGGTTACTGAAGGATGATTTAAAAGAGTATACATATGCAGCACGCCTCTCAGGTTTGAGCTATGGCATTGCATCAGGAATGAATGCAATACTTGTAAGTCAAATGAAAAACCAAAACAAAGGGCATCACACGGTTAAAGCCTTATGTGTAGCTTGGGAAAACTATTAATTTCTGCATTTTTAAACAAGAAAGTTGATGGGGTTTTTTTCCTTGCACCTTTTTGATGATTGAAGAATGCAAACTAAAATCAGTTCTCCTAATGAGTGGTGTAGTCAAGTTTAGTGTGCCTTGTGAACATGTATGTGTGCTGTGTTTATTTGCATGTTCCTCAGCTTGAGATGTTGCACACCCTAACCAAGAAAGCTTGCTGTTCTCACACACAGTGAAAGATCAGCCTAGTTGTGGTGGTGCTTGACTTATACTTGTATAGAAGCCGACTGTATTTCTGCCAACTGTAGTGCAAAGTTCCAGTGTTTGAAAGCATTTAACATTCTCATTTAATTTCTTTTGTAACATGCATCATTAACTATTTTTAAGTGTGTTTAAAAATAGTATTAATTGCACCCTTTTTCTCAAACTGTTGGTGATGTTTCCAAGCATGCTTATATTTGTGTTCCAAATTAACATCTCTTTTATGATAAAGCACACATTCATCTTCACTTTTCTTAAAAATATATTTTATGTTTCAGTAAAACCAAAAATGAGAGTATGTGCTGTGTACTCCTTTTAAAGATTATTATCCAAAAGGTTTTAGGATTTAGAAATGTTATGTTTTACAGTGACTTCATTCTTTTACTCACATAAATAAATTATCTATTGACTTTTATTTGATGTGGAAGAATGTATGTAATCTAACCATCCTCAGAGTCTGGGAAATTCTAAGTCCCAAAAATCTAAATTAACACCAAATAGAAAACCATTCATTTATTTTCTGGTTTTTACCTTTGACATTTAGTAGCATATTACTTTTAATGTAAGTGACTTTTTGTATGTGATGAAATGTACTGTTTTTAGTCTAGTCCTTATAGTACTTGATGCGTTTTCCTCAGCCACTGACCTGCTGAGCTTTTTATGTCATTCATCACAGGTGAGAGGCTTCCACAGGTATTCATGCTTATTACTGTGTATCCTCTAATACTACGGAATTATAACAACATAGGCATTCCCCACTTTTCAAAGCATTATACTTTCAGAAACTATTGTTGTTGTTGTTGTTGTTAAGTGCCGTTGAGTCAGTTCTGACCCATAGCAACCCTATATAGGTTTTCCAAGGAGCAGCCGGTAAGCTTGAACGTCCAACTTTGCGTTTCAAACTGACTTTTGCAGTCCAGCACACTAACCCCTAACCCACAGCACCACACCAAGACTCCAAGGAGCTCTGGTAGCGTAATGGTTATGAATCAGGCTGCTAATCCCATGGCTAGCAATTCAGAACTACTAGCAGTTCCACAGGAGAAAGAAGAGGCTTTCTGCTCCCATAAAGATTTACAGCCTCAGAAATCCTATACAGGGTCACTATGAGTCGGAACCAACTCCACGGCACATAGCCACCACTTTGAGTCCTAGCGTCAGAGACTACTAGACACTGATAATGCACTCTTAGGATTATTTTAAGGGAAAATCCTGATAGTCTGTACAGTATAACCTTACTATATATCTGCTTTTTCTATTTGTAAGCGGTGTGGACCCTTACTGGGCAACGGTTAATGAAAAAAGTGGCAAAGTGCCATATAATAAATTTGGATCTGCTTGATTTCTCTGAGGGTGATTATTTTAAATATTTAAACATAAACAATTTAGAATATATATAGTAAGTAACAGGTAACACTTCCCTGTGATTGTTACCTTCTCACCACAGTTACAAGGAGCTCTGGTAGCGTAGTGGTTACGAATCGGGCTGCGAACCTTAAGGTCAGCGGTTCGAAACTACCAGCCGCTCCGCGGGAGAAAGATGAGGCTTTCTACTCCCGTAAAGATTTACACCCTCGGAAACCCTGTACAGGGTCGCTATGGGTCGGAACCGACTCGACAGCACTTAACAACAACAAAGATTTACAGCCTCAGAAACCCTGTACAGGGTCGCTATGAGTCGGAACCAACTCCATGGCACATAACAACAACAACAACCACAGTTACAAAAACCTTAAGCCTGCCATTCACTAAGATAAAACACATCCTATAATTAATTTAAATTCCCTAAGAACTTAAATTATGATGATGTTGTAGTGTGTGAAGCCATAGTTTGTTGTCAGGTAAGTGCCTACCATTGATTTTGTTTAGGAAAAGTAAAAATATGCTGCTCTTTGGTTATTCCTTAATGATAATAAAGACCGTTACGTGTTCTTTCTAAGTGTTAAATTGTATTTGTAAGAAGTTAATCAGATTTCTTGTTTCATTTTTATTTTAATACTCCTGACTTTGAGAGATTCTAAATGTTTAAAACTCAAGCTTAGTATGTTGGTCTGGAAGTTGTTTCATGATACTTCTTGACTTTTAATACCGTGAACTCTTTCTGTAGCTCTCAGTGAAAGGTTACAATGACAAGCAACCAATTTTGCTAAAGAAGATTATCGAGAAAATGGCTACCTTTGAAATTGATGAAAAAAGATTTGAAATTATCAAAGAGGCAGTAAGTTTTCTGAACCAATTTTTGCTGTTTGTTATTTTTTTATTTATAAAGTTGTATTACCACATTGTGAAACTTTTTTGAAAAGAAACACTTATAACCTTGTTGAATTAATTTCACATGGTAGGATAAGCCCTTGACCTCAAGGTCAGTTTGAACTGCAAGGTCAGTGGTTCAAACTTACCAGCCGCTCCTCAGAAACCCTACACAGGATCCTTATGAGTCAGAAATGACTTAAGAGAATTTAACAGCAACAACCTATAAAGAGAGCTAGAAAGCTCTGTTGGACACCTAGCCCCATTCCCTATAGGCCCAACACTGACTTTTAGAGAGATAGAAAGAAAGAGAGAGACTCTTGAGGTAGACCTAGTGGCTGTCCGAGACTCCTTGAAGGTTCCATCCTACTTCCATTTCATAAGAACGCTTGATTCAGCAGAATGTGTTCGCCTCTGTCATGAGAAAACCTTGTCAACTTGATGCATCTTCCACATAAATCAATCCACATTTGGCCCAGTAATGGAACTTTGCAGTGGAAGGCTGCTCTTTAAAGTCAAACTATGACTGTAAGAGTTAGCATCAGTTTTGAAATGAAGATCCAATAGTGTACATACATGTATGCATACATAGAAATGTATATACAATTATAGACATATATTTATTCATAGTGTTTTCTTAGTAACATTCTAAGTTACTAAGAGTATCTTGTTAGTATAGAATCCAAGGGCGCCAACCAATGGAGGCCCTGCAGAGCTGGGGATACCTTTTTGAGATAAAGGATGTCCCACAGTCTTAGACACGCACTTAGAGTATGTGTCAGATGCTGGGATTAGTACAGCAGCCTGCATGAAGAAGCTTGCCATTATTTTACATATCACAGAGAGTAAGCCTCCATTCTTTGTTATATTCTTCAAAAAGACGTATATATTCCCACATCCCAGTAGCATAACTTATATAAAATAAAGCTTGATTATAGCTGGTCTTTTGAAGTAATTTTAAGATAACTTATAAAATTAATGAATTCTCTTCACTAGTATATGCGATCTCTTAACAATTTTCGGGCTGAACAGCCTCACCAGCACGCCATGTACTACCTCCGCTTGCTGATGACTGAAGTAGCGTGGACTAAAGATGAGTTAAAGGAAGCCCTGGACGGTGAGACTCTGCTTCCTTTTTAGCTACTCAAAGGCTAATGTGTTCTGTTTTGGTTTTCCTCGATTCGTATTAGTTTATGTATAAAGTTTACATAAAATTTAAAGTAACATTTCTTTTGAAGCCAGGTATGCATGTCTTTTAAAAACAGTGGTGGTCATTGAAGTGGCTTTTGCATTCAGGCAATTTTGTCATACTTGCTATTTTCATTCTAAAGATCACTAAATGTCCTAACCCATTACGTCATAACACTGAATTTTAAGAAAAGGAGAAATGGACTGAACTTGAACTTTTAGCACCCAGAAGGAAGGTTTCAACATTTTTCCTACTCTGACATCTTTAGATTTGTCCAGTTCAGTTAAAAACTGGGAAACGTGTCAAGCCTAAAGAATTGTTGCTTTTTCGATATTCTTAAATCTTGTTTTCAGGAGTTATTAGAAGTCCAAAATTCCTTGAAGGTAGTAATGTGTCTTTCTTATATCTCCATCACTTACTGTCTAGTATAAACTGTGGACTCATCATGTGTCTGATGAATGTCTGCTGAATGCAGTAAGATTACTTTCAAGTTAGCTTTATTCGAGGAATGTAGACTGACTTTATTATTATTTTATCATTTTTACTTCCCAGCATTACTTCGCCAGTGAATCTTCCTTCCTACATGCCTAAACATAAGAATTAAAATGTAATTTTGAAAAAGGATACTGCTAAGTTTTAAATGACCTTTTGTGACAAATTCCCTACTCATTATGTAATGCTATGCTTGTGACGTCTTCAGTGGCAAATCAAGGACTATATGTTAAAAATGCTTATTTTGTTGGTGACAGGCATGGGGTAAAAGTATGCATTACAGTACTCATTAACCAGAACAGATATTCTTTTTTATGATGTGGTAAAATAAATACAACAAAAAAATTGCGTTTTATCCATTTTCCCAAGTCCAGTAACATTAGTTACATTCATGTATTTTACAGCCATCATCACTATTTCCAAAAGGTTTTTATCACCCCAGACACAAACTCAGTACACTTGAAGCAATGATTTCCCGTTCTCCGTCCCTTCCAGCCCCTGTAACCACTAATAAACTTTTCTCTCTGCATTTACCTATCTCAGATATTTTTAAAAACTGCATTTTTAATCTGGGTAATTAATATACTTATTTTTGCAAAATGATTGAGTCACAGGCAGTTAATAGCAAGAATTTTAACCTTTTAAAATTCTTTAAATAATTTATTTTAAATATGTTGTCAAGAAACCAAACCTGCATTCAGTTCAGTCAGAAAACCAGAGGTGTTTGGTTTTTCCCACTTCGTTAGAATTTGGGTCAGATGACATGTGAATTTTAAGTAGAGTAATCTCCAGATTGAATACAATGAAAATGTGCTTCATAAAGAGAAAGTCAACATTTTAGTGGTTGAAACTCACTGCTTTGATACACTGTTTATAGATAGATAGATAGATAGATAGATAGATAGATAGATAGATATAGATACCGTCACAGTATAAATCAGCAATGTGAAGATGCTTTAATTTGGAGGTAACTCAGTGTGAACGGTTTGCTGCCTTGTGACCCTCTAAGTCAATCAGATATCTAGGTACCATAGTAGCAAAAGCTTGAGAGTGAAGGGTGGTCCAAAGCATCTACTGACTGCTGCTTTGCGTCAGGCACTGGAATCCAGCTGCTTGAGATACGAAATGATTAATTATATGGAATTCCTTAGGTCAAGGACCTCTAGTCTAGTGCGGGAAGCAGAGATGCAAACCAATCATTTCAATGGAAGCAAGAGGGTAAGTGTAATAGAAGTCTGCTGAGACTGCTAAGGCACCTAGTGGAGAGGACTCCTGAGCAGCCCTAAGGTTCCAGTGGAGTGTAAAAAGTATTCACTTGGGAACCAGTCAGGCTTTGGACCAGAAACTTGAATTTTATTAATGTTACTTTTTGCCCAGGACCAGGCAGTGTGTCATTTTGTTGTGCATGGGCTCACTAAGAATTGATACCAACTCAATGGCACCTAACAACAAGTTTTCTTCTTACCTGTAAAGTGGATATGACAGTACATACTTTATATAAGATAATATGTATAAAATGCCTAAAGAGGGAATGATTGCTTAAAGGGCACTGAGTTTCTTTTAAAAGTGTTGGGAAATCTTGAAAACAGGTAGTTGTAATGGTTATAAAAAATTTCTTCTATCTCAAAAGAGATTTGACTCAAGATATGCCCTGTTACTAATTCTGCCTCCGTAACATAACTAAGATAGCCCGTTCTCAAATGGAATTATAACCAGGCATAGAAGTTAGGATTTACAGTACATATTTTTGGAGGACATAGTTCAACTTATAATAGACAGGATATTTTTATAATCTCAAAGTATTTCACCTAAAATAAGTATTTATTAATTACAATGGGATAAATGGTTATCAATGAGCAGGTGGGCTTTTCAGAATTGCTTATAGAGGGAATATTGCTAAGAGTTTTGGTTATAACCCAAATAGTAAATTTACAGTGATGGTGTCACCTAACCAAGTGGTCAGTGTAAGCATCACCAGCACTACAACTTGTCAACATCGGGGGCCCTGATGGGATCCACTGAGAAAAGCACCTTACCTCAGTGGCGTTCTTTCTAATAATACAGAAACTCAGTTTAATCATGAAGAAACACTAGACAAAATATACTATGCAGTACTCTTCAAAAGTCATAAAGTCAGGAAAGATCAGGGAAGACCCAGGAACTGTCACAGATTGGAGGAAACTAAGATAGAAACCTGAAGTGATTTCCAGTAAAAAGTGAGGGAAGGACAAAATCCTTAGTAGCTAGAGCTTACAATTTCTTACCCCTTACAGATGTCACCCTCCCTCGCCTGAAAGCCTTCATACCTCAGCTTCTTTCCCGGTTGCACATTGAAGCCCTGCTCCATGGAAACATAACCAAGCAGGTGGGTAGTGTGGTTATTTTATGTGTGATTTTTAGCAATCTTTTATGGATCAATGCAAGGTGCTTTGCCTGTAGGCAGCACATTTCCCCCAGTCTTCTGTGGTCTGTGGAGGGAGCTGGAAGGTGGCAGAGGGGGAGTAAAATGACAGTTGTTTACTGTGGACCTGCTTTCATCTACTGCCTCCTCTGCTTTTGCCTTGCACATATAATTATAGGAGAAAATACGAAGAGTTTTCCCTGCATTATATAGGGTGGCAAGACTGGATAGCAGATAACATACTGCAGAATCAAACAGAGTGGATTCAAATTCTGACTTTGCTGCATACTAAAAATGTAACCTGAAAATGTCTTAATTTGTGTGGGCTCAGTTTCCTTATCTGTAAAATTAGAGTTACAGTGGCACCTACATCATTGGTTATAATGATTAAATTAAATAGTACATTCAAAGTGGTTGGCACATGAAAGCACTACAGAGTTCTCATGTCTTAAGAGCTCACATTCTCCACCATTTTTCTATACCGTCTCCAAAATACATGGCCTCTATCAGATGCTAATAGTTGGCAAAGACCGGATTCTTAACAAGGTCACGTCTACTCAAATTAAAACCTTAGGCTCACCTCCTTTGTTATGTGATGACTCCAGATATATGCCTTTGAGCTCATTCACTGGGGACCAGCTCTCTATTACCAATACCTTTCCAGATTTCCAACACTTTTTTCCCAGCATTGAAATCAGTATTGATGATCACATTTCTGCTTCTCTGTTAACCATATGGATTCACTATATTGAAAATTGAATATACTAACAAATTCAATTTTTACCCATTTAAATGGGATCAAATATATTAAACTTGGGTCTGAAAACCCATTTTTTAAGATTGACTATGATAGGTCATTTCGCAGGTTTTCATACTGCATAGATTACCATCCAATGGACTGTTTTTATTTCGCAGACAAGGTATGTTTTTGTTTTTGTAACGCACTGCAACATATCTTTCTCCCTAGGCTGCATTAGGGATTATGCAGATGGTTGAAGATACCCTTATTGAGCATGCTCATACCAAGCCTCTCCTTCCAAGTCAGCTGGTTCGGTATAGAGAAGTTCAGCTCCCTGACAGTAAGTTAAAATGCTATAACTTTGGGAATGGACTAATTTGACATAATGTTTTGGGTGACTACAGATGGGTTGAATTCACTTGCATGTCTGTGTGTAGAGATCAAAGAAATATTCCTGGTGTCGTGTTGTAGATAAGCGCTGAACTGCTAGGTCAGTTTGAACTGCATGGTCAGCAGTTCAAACTCACAAGCTGCTCCTCAGAAACCCTATACAGGGTCGCTGTGAGTCAGAACCGACTTGACAGCACGTAACAACAACAGCAGATGGGTTGACCTCACTTGGATGTCAATGTATAGAGATCAAAGAAATAGTCTACTGTTCATAGTAGTTTAGTGAGGAAAAGTGCTGTCAGAAAATCCTCTGGTGTGAGAGGCAGAGAAGTAAAATTGGAAGTAGCTTATTATTTTGAATAGAATGATACTGAAATTGACTGGTACTCGTGTGTACAATAATTGTTGTGAAGTGCCATCAAGTTGGTTCCAACTCATAGTGACCCTGTATAGGGTTTCCAAGGAGCAGTTGGTGGGTTTGAACCACCAACCTTGTGGTTTGCAATCCAGTGCTGGTTCTACAGTGCCACACCAGGAGTAATTAGAGTAATTAGAAGGTAACAATATAAAAAAGCTACAGAAGTAATTGACTGGGGAGCATGAAATAAAATTTATTTATTAAAAAATGGAAATTGGAATCATAACATTTAATTGGGAGTCTCGAGTAGTCTTTGGCAGAAATAGTTTTAGGAAGACAACAGGTACAAATCATAATATGCATTCATTATATGTTTAATTTTATAAGGAATTAACATAAAGAATTGATAATAATATATTGGGATTTGCGGTGTTGGGCTACTTTTGCATTAACAATAATTTCTTGTTTCTTTTAGTTGTTTGCTATTCTCCATGTATGCCTCATCTGTGCTTTTTTATCAAAAGTGTTTCATCATCCTGAAGTAGTCCTCCTCTTTCCCACTCTTCCCCATGAACCTATGTCTGTGCCCTACTTACCTGTCTAGACCCATCTTAGAAACCACCTACTCCACTAAACTTTCTTTAAAACTCTTAGCTGGAAGTAGATGTTCTTTTTCTAAACTTCCAAAACAATTTCTCTGAACCTCTGTCTAAATTTTTAGTACTGCTATAAAAAACACCACATGTGGATGATTTTAACAAGCACTTACTTTCTCACAGTGTAGGAGGCTGGAAGTCTGAATTCAGATGACTGGCTCTAGGAAAGGCTTTCTTTCTCTGTCAGTTCAGGGAGAAGACCCCTGTCTCTTCAGCTCCTATTCCTTGGTGATACCCATGTGGAGTAATGTCTGTCTCCCCCATCTCAGCTTGCTTGTTGTTGTGAAGTGCCATCTAGTCAGTGCCGACTCTTGGTGACCCTGTACAGAGTTTCCGAGGGGCAGCTGGTAGATTTGAGCCACCAGCCTTTCGGTTCAAACCAGCATTGCAGTCGAGTACTTATCCTACAGCACCACACCACTTTGCTTAGTGTACTCTTTTTATATTTTTTAAGAGAGTAACTCACAATGCACCCTACATTAACAGGTCTGCCTCATTAACATAACAAAGACAACTCATTCCCAAATGGAATTGTAAGCACAGACATTGAGGTTAGAATTTATAACACATATTTTGGAGGAACACACTTCAATTCTAATACTTTCCCTGTTTCAGCTACTTTGCATTTCTTTTCTTTCATTGGGAATGAAGGGCATCTCTGTCTCTCTGACTGAGCCTACTTACCAGTTGTTAATGTCGTAAATTGTCATTAACTCTCCTTGGGGCAGCATTTATAGTTTAAAAGGAAAAGTTTCAGGTGTTGCGAAGGAGGGGACACTTGGGGGTATATATGAAAAAGCTGAAGGTGAAGTATATAACCAGTGGTCTCCACTCCTTAGTGCTGCCAGTGTACAATCAGAAAATGGGATTGTTGGCCAGACTTGGATTTGGTCAGAAAAGAGAAGTAGGTGAAATCCAACTGCAGTCTTCTATGTCTTCCTTTACTGTTGATATCTAAATTGCCATCTATAATAGTGAGCAAACCAATACTTATTAATGTATTAGACTTACTCTATGCTAAATAAATGCTAAGCTGTGTATATTTGCCTAGTCAGTTAATTGCTCATGAAATGAAGATATCAGCTCATAAAGCATGATCATCTATTCATAACTTTGATAAAACATTTGATCAACTGATGCGAACTTTAGTCTTACCTCTCCAGTATCCGACTTTGTGTCCTTGGGTAAGTTGCCCCATTTCTCAGGATCTTAGTTTCCTCATCTCTAAAATGAGATGTTGGGGGAGCATCTTACACGTAACTGCTGTGTATGTGACATGACCCTTAATGTGGATGTGGATAAACAGCACTGAAAGTGGACTGCTAAATGGAAACACTAGCTGTTAAAGGCACTACTAGTCATTTGTATGTTTGTGTGTGTAGAAAGTATGTGGTGGGGTTTCTGTCTAATCTAGTACATTAGAGTCCTGGTGTGGCACTGTGGGTTAATGCACTAGACTGCAAAGTTGTTTTGAACCACATGGTCAGCGGTTCAAGATCTCCAGTCGCTCGTAGGAAACCCTATACAGGATCGCTATGGGTTGGAACCGACTTGATGGCACTCAACAACAACAATGTAGTACATACACTACATTGTATATTTTATTAACTATGGATCACATTTAGTATTAGTGCTTAGTCATAAAATGGATCTTTCAAAAGTTCTTTTTCCTTGAAATTCAGTGACTGTTTATTGAGGGTCTACCCAAGCAAAACTGGCAAAACTGCCAGCTGTTCCACGGGAGAAAGATGAGGCATTCTGCTCCCATAAAGATTTACAGCCTCAGAAACCCTGTGCAGTGTCACTATGAGTCGGACCCGACTCCACAGTACTTAACAACAACAGCAACCGTAGCATAAAGAAGAACTGAGGAAGTAAAACAACTAAACAGAAAATTTCAAAGGGCAACTATATAAGACAAAGTCAGGTATTATTAATGAAATGTGCAAAGCCCTGTAGTTAGAAAACCAAAAGGGAAGAACACACTCAGCATCTCTCAAGCTGAAAGAAATAAAACATTCAAGCCTTGCTATGTAATACTGAAGGATTCTATTGGCAAAATATTGAATGACGCAAAAAAAAAAAAGATGAGAGGGGAACACACAGTCACTGTACCAAAAAGAAATGGTTGATGTTCTACTACTTCAATAAGTATATGATCAAGAACCAATGGTACTAAAGGAAGAAATCACTGAAGGCATTGGCAAAAAATAAGACTCCAGGAATCAACAGAATACAAATTGAAATCTTTCAACAAACTGATAAAGCGCTGAAGGTGCTCACTCATCTATATCAAGAAATTTAGAAGACAGCTACCTGGCCAACCAATTGGAAGAATGCACATTTGTTCCCATTTCAGAGAGGTGACCCAATGGAATACGGAACTCATTGAACAGTATCATTAATATCACATGCAAATAAAATTTTGCTGACGATAATTCAAAAACGCTGCAACAGTACATCAACAGGGATCTGGCAGAAATTCAAGCTGGATTCAGAAGAGGACATAAAACTAGAAATATTATTGCTAAAGTCAGATGGATCTTAGCTGAAGTCAGAAATGCCAAAAAGATGTTTACTTGTGTTTTATTAACTGTATAAAACTGTATGGGCCATGACAAGCAATGGACAATAATGCGAAGAATGGGTATTCCAGAACACTAAATGGTGCTCAGGAGCAACCTGTACATAGACCAAGAGGCAGTCATTCGAACAGAACAAGGGGAAACTGAGTAGTTTAAAATCAGGGAAGATATGTGCCAGGGTTGTATTATTTCACCATACTTATTCAATTTGTATGCTGAGCAAATACTCTTACAAGCTGGATATGAA